CATAGGATCTAAGGAGATGCGAAATAAACTCAAAATGAGGTCAACAAGGACTCACACTAGTTTCCTCTCCACACACAAGGAAACTTACAGGACTCGCATTCCACAGTCTTCCTTCTCCAATTCGATGCGAACAACACACTCCGAGATCATAGAAATCCTCATTTCCAACTTTTATCTCCTTCACCAGGAGCTTGTTGAAGAATACTTAAGGAAGACCTATACCTCGCCCATTATTACGCCGCTCAAAATTGTTTTAAGAACCCAAAAAGCGAAGTAACTGCACCAGACACAGAGGCACTCGGACTGGGCGAAAAAACACCCGTCTCTCAGATAAGAAATAATTGCCCCTAACAAATATGGGCGCAAAACCGCCCCCCCACCCCTCCCTACAAGGAGCGCCCAAGAGTTCTCTGTTTGGCTTGGGTGTTGCAGGCTCCACAATCACAACATTAACATATCTCATACCTAAACTTAGCAATTTACAAAACAACATTTTGGTGCTTTAAGCTCATGCATGATAAGGTATATTTGACTTTTAAAAAGTATAACAATGCTATTTTTTATGTGATATTAAAGATTTGAGTAGATGGTTGCGTTAGATAGTCGACAACTAACGTAAAATTTATCGAAAAATCATTACATTGATCATTTAAATCCTTATGTAAATGTTAGAGCGTCCCCTGAAAGTGACGCGCTGTATGACCTGAATACAGTGAAAAGTGTGCAGTTATCGCTGCACCACAACTAGGTGTAATGTCAAATAAGCAAATATTTTCACATTACGGATAAATGCGGGTAAATAAGTAAGTCCATGAAACTAATATTAGAATAATATCATAGAATATAGGTACTCTAACAAGTAAATTAATAAAATTAGTTAATATTGTGATTCATAGAAAAGTAAATATCTTATGTATTCAAGAAACTAAATGGGCTGAAAAGAAGACTAAGGAGATTAATAGCTTAAGGTTTAAACTTTATTATTTAAGTAGAAGTTGCACTAGAAATGGTGTAGGTGTGATTATAGATAAGAGTTTGAAAGATAATGTAATAAAAATTAATAAAATTAGAGATAGAATTATAGCTCTAAATTTTGTTATTGATATTAAGATTTTCAATGTTACAAGTGTTTATGCTCCTCAAGTAGGTCCAGATATAAGTTCAAATAAAAAATTCTAGAATGACTTGGAAGAATTAATACAAATGACACCTCTTGAAGAAGAAAAAAATTATTAGAGAAGATTTAAATTGACATGTTGGTAGAGTGGTGAAAGATTTTAAAAGTATTCATGGTTATTACGGTTTTGGAGTAACTAATGAAGAATGTAGAACCATATTAAGTTTTGCCTTGTATGATTTTGTTATTGCTAATAATTTATTTAAGAAAAGAGATGTGTATAATATTACTTATAAAAATGGATTATATAGAACACAAATTGATTATTTTCTTATGAGAGAAAAAGATTGTCAAGAGTATAAAGATTGAAAGGTCATTCCAAGTAAAAATTTAAGTATTCAAGATTATTAATTCTGAATTTTAAGATGAAGAGTTATAAGATAAAGAATACAATAAAATATTATCATAGAATTAAATAGGGGCACCTAAACAATACAATAAAATTATTTTTATGAGTAAACTTTAAGATTTCAAGATTTACGATGTACATGAAGAAGCGAATTCTATGTGGGATAAAATAACACACTATTAATGTGCGAGAAAAGATAAAATAAAAGAAGTTGTGTTATAAAAATTAATTTAAATGTAAAAGCTTAGAAAACTGGAAAAAATATAATGTGACCCGAAGGGTGTCTAAAAGAATAATTTATGACGCTAAAAATTTTATTTTTAGTGATCTTTAAAATAAATTAAAGAGTAAAAATGGTGAAAATGTATGTATAAACAAGCCAAACAAAGAAAAGAGAAAAGTAAAGATTTAATTAAAGTGAAGTATATTAAAGATGAAAATCAAAATGTAATTTTCTTAGAAGATGATATTCAAAATAGGTAGATGAGATATTTTGATAAACCTTTCAATGAAGTTTCTGAATATACGATCGACCTTAGAGATATCAACATCATTAAAATTAATAAAATATTTTATTTTTATCATCGTATTTGTAAGAAAAAGTTGAGGATACTTTAAAGAAAACTATGGGTGGAAAATCAATAGGACATAATGATATCCTAAATGAAGTGTGAAATATTTAAGAGATTTGGGAGTTTCTTAGCTTACTAAACTCTTTAATATTACTTTAAGAACTAAAAAGATGTCTGAGCGTTAGAGAATGAGTATTTTGGTCCCCATTTATAAGAATAATAAGGATGCACAAGAGTGTGCAAATTAAAGAGGAATTAAGTTGATATGTCATACATTAAAATTATGAGAGAGTGTAATTGGGCATAGGTTAAGATGTGATACAAAGATTTCTCATAATCAGTTCAGATTTATGTAGGGAATGTCTACTATGGAAGCTATACATTTATTGAGAGGCCTGGTAGAGAAGTACATAGAGAATAAGGAGGATCTACATATGATTTTTATTGATTTAAAAAAAGCTTTCTATCTGATTCCAAGAGAAGTCCTTTGGAGAGTTCTAGAGAAAAAAAGTGTTGATATGACTTATATTTAAGTCATTAAGCATATGTATGCTAGAGCTGTTACTTGTGTTCGAAAAAAAGGATGAATAACCAAGTATTTTTCTATTTCAATTGGATTACATCAGAGATCGACTTTAAGCTCATATTTTTTGCTTTAGTTATGGATGCTTTTACAAGAGAATTTACAAGAGGATGTACCTTGGTGTATGCTTTTTGCCGATGATATCCTTCTTGGGAATAAGACTAAAGAAAGAGTTTAGGAAAAACTTGAATTATGGAAGTCTACAATGGAGTCTAAAGGCCTTCGTATGAGTAGGCCTAAAACTGAATATATGAAATGTAATTTTAGTAATAGTAACTCTAGTGGCAGAGCTATAACTATGACTGATCAAATCATTAAAAGGTATGATTGTTTTAGATATCACGGGTCTATTGTTGAAAGTGAAGGTCATATGGTGGGGATTTTACTAGTATAATTCAAGTTGGTTGACTGAAGTGGAGGAATGCATCATGCCTATTGTGTGATAGAAAAGTATCATTTAGACTTAAAGGAGAATTTTATGAGATGGTGTGAGACCTACAATACTCTATAGCACAGAATGTTAGCCTTTAAAAGAGAAGCATAAAACAAAGGTCAGTGTTGTTGAGATGAGAATGTCTGGGTGGATGAGTGGCTTGACACATAGAGACAAAATGCGAAATGAATATATTTGTGATAGGGTTGGTGTAGCTTCAATGACGGACAAGATTAGATAAAGTCGTCTTAGATGATTTGGCCACAATAAACGCCTGTTAGGAGAGTAGATGTTTTAGATTCGACTTGTGTTAAGAAAAATAGAGGTGGAGCTAAAAAACCTTGAGTATATTGCATACAAAACGATAATCTACTATAATTAAATGAAAATATCACACTTAATAGGACGCACTGGAGAAAAATGATTCATGTAGCCGACACCACTTAGTGGGATAAAGCTTGTTGATGTTGTTATATTCAAGATTTGAGTGGTACGTGTGAAAAGATGAAAGATTACGTGTGAGATATATAAATACATAAGTATTATGTGCTATGTAAATATTGCTAGAAACTTGATGAAAATTTGAAAGTATATACTTTTAGAAATGTAAAATGCGAGCTTTGAGAATCACACAAACATTATAAGTTTTGAAGTTTAGTTTCCATACTTTCTAGTTGAGAATGAGATGCATTTTATAGGCATTTAGACTCCTTTGTTGTTTCACAATCCTGCTTATACTAAAAGCAAGTTAATGCGGCTCTCACCAAATTGTCCGACAAAGCTATTTTAAATCCTGTATTCTAAAGTTAATTGTGGACTTTTGTAATTTTATCAAGATCTTGAGAATTTCGAAAAACTACTAACTTTAAGTTGTTTGGGGTTATAAATAAGGGCCCTAGTCCATGTAAGTTGAAATATTTGATTAATATAATTTCAATTTTTCTCTCAAATTTATGAGCAGTCAGATATAAATTCATCAAATGTAAAACCAAGTTAACAATAAATTTAAAGGAAAGATTTTTCTTGCAGTGTTGTGAGGCATATGTCTTTTAATTGCCGACTCATATCCTTATTTAGTCTTCCTTTTCGCAGTGTGACTCCAAAATGTTATGTGATTTTACTTCGTACTCATACTTCTTAATAAATTTCAAACTTTAGAAGAACAATAAATTAGGAATTAGAGCGATTTTCACTTTTTTTTTATCTCGTTTGTATTAAAAAGGATCTAAACTTTGCTCTAATTAAGAGTTGGGTGACTGCAGTTTTACTATTTTATTTTATTTATCTGCATAGCCAGTCTAAGTTTGCATTAGTAAACCCTAGATTGATGGTTGAAAGGCAAAATACTTCATAAAATTCTCAAACTTTCACAAGCAAGGATTTACAAAGTATAATGCAGTAATGAAAGTTGACAGTAGATAGAGACCCTATTTTTTTCAATTATGGTGGCAAATGCTTGTTCAAGAAAAAATATAGACATTGATATGTGAAAACAATTTTAACCAAGGAAATTTACATAATGATTAATGGCTGAGCGTTTAATTTCCCACTGCTAAATCACATATTACCCTTTGAGCTCAAATTTCCCAAAAATAAAAAATTTGCATACCTAGCACACCAGTCTTATGCATTTAAACTTTCAAATTAACTTACATAGCACTTTGATGCTTTAATCCTATACATGATAATAGTGCGATTTTTTAAGTGATATTAAAGATTTAAATGTTGTATGTGTAAATATAAAAGTTTAAGTGTGAGATGTGCAAATACATAAGAATTGTGTGCAATGTATGTAAATGCCCCTTTTATCTACTAGTATTAACGTCTCCATAAAACTCATCTTTTCAACATTTTCCAAGAAAAAGTGGATGAACTGAAAAAAATACCTTTTCCAATCCCTTTGAATAGCTGCTTCAACCAAAACTGCAACGCAAGGGGGAAGCTCCTGCATACTTCCAGGTAACACCCCATTTTCTTTGTATTCGCATAAGGAGACGGGATCAAACAATGGCTTTCTCAAATAGAGCTCAGCCATTATACACCCAATCGAAAATACATCCCCAGCAAGATCTTCAGAATAACCTCTCGAAGGAGATGATAAATGCCTCCAACGCAACAACTCCTGAAAGCTGGTAGACCCATTATCATCACCCTCTAAAAAGACAAGAAGATGGCCCAAACCAAAAGGAAAAGAAACCGAAGAACTTCCCGCTGCCTCTAAATAATCCATATTCCAATAAACATTATTGAAAATAGCTTTGTCATCAGCATTATCATCACCATTAGACTTGCCATTATCGACATTTAGATGAATACCCTGTGGAAAATCTAAAACACGAAACTTTCCAAGCAAATTTTTATCATAACTATATACTGGATTTAGGTGTCGTGCTGAATCACAAAATGAAATTGCCTCCTCTAAATTTTCCAGAAATTCAGAAGCTGTAAGGTTATAATTAGCTTTGTTGCGGCTTGTATAATCTGAACGATATTTCACATTACGCCGCATAGGATGCGGCCGGGTAAAGAGTTGTCGACGTCCCATTGATCTTGGCACTGATATATCAGCTACAGGAAGCATCACATTCTTTGCTTCAATAGATGCTTCGCCAGAAAGCTTATAACCAAAGGTTATATCGATCCAATGATGAAGTTGACTCGATACATGATCACTTTCCAAAGCTTTTCGATGCTCGAAAATAAATTCTTCAGGAGATGAAGACCAAGAGGGGACAGCTAAATCACTCATTTCGGAATGAATTGAAGAAAAAATACGAGGATCACTGTAGAACTCAGGGATGGACTCATCTGGAGTCCATTGGTAGAGTCTCTGCATGTTCGACGGATACTCGTTCGGTTCATAAACCGAGCGGACGGCCGAACGAAGAATGTTCAGAGGTAACCTTCGAGCTTTATAGCTGCAAACAGCTAACTCTGAAAGACATTCGTCGGAGACATGATGAGGAATTTCTGATGTAGAATAAGTGAAATCCAATTGTTCGTCGCCTTTTGCCAGCCTCCACTTACTTTTCTTCAAGTCTCTCCAGCCAAAATCAGATTTTTCATCAGGTTTTATGGTAAAATCGATTACCCATGGCATGACGGTATGGAAAGTGTGGTCGCCCCACCTTCTCCCAGCTAATTTATTCAAAACAAGAAGGTATTCATAATTGCTCAACTCACCTTTCCACCATTTCAAGAAAATTGAGTGCCAGTTGATCGGCGCTGAGAGTTGTGCATTGGAATGAATTGCTTGACAGGAAAAACAATTGATGTGATGATTTGGGTCTGACAAGGATGAAATTTGACCATTTTCGCTAATTCTGTGCTTCATAATTGACATATCAGCCAAACTCAACCAAACCCACAATGAATCAGAGAGCAGAATGCTTGAAGGGCATAAGTTACCATGCGGAATTCCTAAATCATGAATGTAAGTCAAAGCTGAGAACATCTGGTAAATCAAAAATCGAATTTGCCAATCTGATCTCAAACAATTTGGGCTGAAATGAAGAATGTTTTCCAGAGTAAAAGAAGCTTTTGGATGCAACAAATAATCATAACCAGAAGCATTAATTACACCCAATAAGGGTGAGATATTTGGGTGTCTCAAGCAACGTTGAAAAGGACTTCCAGCAAATGAAGGAAATCCAACTAATTTTAGAAAATTTATGCTGTACCGATCAGCCGATTCTCCTTCCACAAAGGAATTTAGCGATGAGACCACATAATCTTCGGTTGATTCTGATAAATATTTCAAGACAAGATCTTTGATTGCGGAGTAGGAATTTCGACAGGAAATCGCGTGAGGAGACAAAACAGAAAGTATCTTAAGGCGTAAGAATTTTTCAGAAGAATTTATGGAAGAGCTTTGAAGATTCACACAACTAAAACTGTTTTTTGATGAATCCTTAGCATCTTGATGCTGTGCATTTTCATCCACACTGTATTCCAGAAAAATGTGAACCGAACAAAGGGTGAAGAAACCAATTGCCTAATTAAATATTCATACTTTTCGCATTGAAATAAACACAAAAGAAAACCAAAGAGTGCTTACGCATTTTTTTATGCACCTGTTATGGTGGTCAGGTAATTGCACAATAACAAATTGAGCAGACAAATCCTCGCTACAATCATAAAAATGCCAAACAGAGCAAGTAGTATGAGGTATAAATGATGAAATTATTTATATCAAGGGAAATTTAAATAGGTAGCACACAATTCTCAAGCATTTAAATACCTCAAATCTAAGCTTGTATATTTACATACATAGCACTTTGGTGCTTTGAACATATGTATGAAAATGTGCATTTTCTTTTTAAGAAGTGGTGTCAGTTCTGTTTTTTATGTGATATTAAACATTGGAGTGCTATGTGTGTAAATATGAAAGTTTAGGTGTGAGATATGTAAATACAATAGAATTGTGTGTTATGTATGTAAATGCCTTAAGATAAAACTGTTTAAGGGCGGAAATCAAAATTACCTAATTGCATTTTCTTCAGCAGCAGATGAACAAATCTGCAGATAGTAGCATAATGGTTACATGTTGAAAAATACTTCATTCCATATATCTGCCTATCGATAGATGTATCATGGGTCAGTTTCAAATAAAAAAGAAAAAGGTTTTCACAGAACTTACAGACTAAAAGGGAAAACAATATATGGGATTAATAAATTTGTTTCAAACAGCATATGGGATAAATATGAATGATAAATAAATTGAAAAAGAATATAAGTCGTTCTTAAACATAGTGGTTTAAGTATACTTGAAGATGTTTGAAGAAGGAAGAAGAGGGAGATGAAGCCCGAAAAAAGCATAGTGTTTCGGTGGCATTTTGTTTTCATTTAATATCTATATTACTTTTTCTGATTCATGGTTTGTTCTTTATATAGGAGTTTTATAGGGGCTATTTGGTCATTATATTGGTAACTGTTTGGCATATAAGTTGTTGGGTTTGTTACAACGTCGATGCCCTAATCATTTTGGTTGCCTTCGGGACCACAGCTCTTGTTGTGGGTGAGCTCCTCGATGGTCCATACACAATTGTTGTTAGTTATGCTCATTTACTCCCTTTCAAGATGATGGTCTAGGGCTTGGACAGTCATCTTGTTGGTTAGGAGTTGATGTCAAGCAGTTGGCAGGGATTTGGTGAGGATGCCTGTGATTTGGTCTTGAGTCAAGATGTGGAGATGGTTGATTTTTGTTTGCTTGAGATGATCCCCGATAAAATGATAGTCCACTTCAATGTGTTTTGTCTTGCCTGAAAAATAGGGTTGTGTGATAGGGCTACTGTCAAGGTGTTGTTGCTATATATAGTAGTTGTTGGTGATCTTGTATTTGTGAGTTCTGGTAGCAGACGTCATAGCCACAAGGCATATGTGATGGTTGATGCTAGTGTCTTGTGTTTGGCCTCTATAGATGATCTTGTTACTGTTACTTGCCTCTTACCATAAAACAAGATTGGGTCCCAAATAAACATATAACCTTTTGGTAGATTTCATCCTTCTCTGCATGTGCTTATAGCTGTAGATTTCCTGTTGTTATTGGGATTCCATGGTGCAATGTGCCTTTTAAGTATCTAAGAAGTCTTCTGAGGTGTTCAATGTGTTCTAGGTGTGGGTTGTGCATATGTTGGCTGAGTAGATTCACTACGAAAGTGATTTCTAATCAGGTTAGTATGGTATTGTAAAGTAGTTGTCAGAATTGTTGTGGGTCTGATATTCACGTGTTTGTGGTGATAGTTTTGTGGTATTGTGATGGCAATGGTGTTAGGATTGGTTTGAATTGAAGCATATAAGCTAATTTAAGGAGGTCTGTGAGGTATTTTATTTGATGGAGAAAGTAGCCAATGAGAGTATATTGGACTTGTGAGCCTAAAAAGTGGGTAATAGGTCCAAGTTGTTTTAGGTTGAACTGGGTGATGAGTTTGTGTATGAGGAGATGGTTGATGTGGAGTTTTCTGTTATGATTATATCATCTAGATATACAAGTAGGTAGATTCTTGTGATATTGTGGTATCAAGTAGGTAGGGGTCTATCGTGTTGAGTATGAAATGTTGGTTGTAGAAAAACTTGCAGAAAGTGGAGTACCACTATCAAGACGCTTGTTTGAATCCATAGATAACCTTCTCTAGTTTGCATAAATAGTGTGGATATTGCATGCCTGTGACCCTAGAAGCTGGGACATGTAAACCATGTCTTTGAGCTTGACATGGAGGAAGAAATTTGAGACATCCAGCTGCTTTATTGGCATTTTGTTTGTTGTTGCGATGGAAAGAAGCATTCTGATGGTTGGAAATTTTACTACTAAGTTGAAGGCTTCATTGTTGTTAATTCGTTGTTGCAAGAATATTTATGCTACCAATCTTTCTTTGTGTTTGACTATAGATCCATCTATGTGATATTTTATTTTAAATGTCCACATGCTGCCTAGTAGGTGTTGATTTTTTGGGGGTAATACCAGGGTCCAAGTGCCTTGTTTTTTTAATGCCATGAATTCAGTTGACATTGCATTTTCCATTGTAGTTATTTGACTGCATGATTGAATGTTGTGCGATCGAAGGGAATAATTGTGTGATGAAGATTCCAGAATTGCTTAGGTTTTAGCTTCCCTATTTGAAGTTTGGCTACTATGTGATGTTATTTATGTTGTTGGTGGTTGGGGAAGGGAGGTGGTGATATTGTTAAGTTGTCTGGTGTGGGTGCTATTTGAGTTTGGTATATGCTGATTGTATGTGTACTATAGGATGTGGCGGGTGAGTTTGGAGTTTGACTTATGAGTGAGTTTGAGGTATTTTGGAGATGGGAACTATTAGATTGGGTGGGGTTTCAATAGGATTGTTTCCTTGTGTCATGTTTGTTGGTGGGTGTTTGTAAGGAAAAGTTGTTACTATAAAAGTGACATGTACTGAAATGATAAGTCAATTGTTTTAAGTGTCAGGTTGTTTGTATCCTTTATATTGCTAACTATATCTTAGGAATATGCAAATTTGTGCCCTTGGTGTAAATTTATGTTGAGTGTTGGGTGTTGCCATGGAAAGCATGCACAACCAAAGATTGTAGGTTATCATAATTGGATTTTTTATTGTTGAGTAGTTGATATGGGGATTGAGAGTCGGTGGTGGTAGACGATTGCACGTTGATGAGGTATGTGGCAGTTAGTGGAGCATCTATCCAGGAATGTGGGGGAAGGTTTGTTGTGTTTAGCATTATTGGTTGTGTCCACGAGGTGTCTGTGTTTGCATTCAACTAGACCATTTTATTCTGGTGTGAGTGGACGGTTGAACTGCTATTGGACGCCATGTTGGATGCCATGGCATTGGAGGTTGTTTTGTAGACCCTCTGTTCTAAGGTATTTTATTTGTGGATCGTATTTTGTGATTAGCCTGTGTAAGTTTATGAAATATGGTGAGGTCTCAGATTTATTTTGCGTTAGAAATAACCAACAAAAGCAGGAAAATGCATCTATAAAGATGCATAGTATCTATATCCATGAATAGAGGGGCAGTAAAAGGACCTCATACATCATAATGTAATAATTATAATAATGCATATGTAGTAGTAATAGGTATGAAACATAATTTGTGTGTGTGTGTTTTTTTTTTTTTTATTTTTTTTTTTTTTGGATAGTGGTCTTGACAGGAAGGTTGTGTTGTATGTATCTTGAGATGTGAGTTGGACTTGAAGATGCAGTGAGACCCGGATGTGAGGATGCCCCCAAACAGTGGTGCTAGGTTGCTGGAGTACTTGTGGAGTTGAGAGCAGTGATAGGTCACAGCCTCCATTTAGCTGATCCTATGAGTAATGTTTTCTTGGTTGCTATATCTTATATTTGAAAGCCATTAGCATCAAAGGTAATGAGGCAGTTGTTGTCTTGGGCTAGTTTATACATAGAGAAAAAGTTATGTGAGAAATTTTGGGCATGAAAAATAGGTGATAGGGTGAACTTATTATTTGAGGAGGAAAGAATGTCATTGATTGTGCGTGCTATGTGGATTCTTTGCCTGTTGAAGACGACGACTTATTCACTATTCATGGCTGTCGTAAGTTCTCCATATGTGGTGTGAGATGAGCAGATGCTCATATCCAGAACCCGGGTTTATATAGGTTGTGTAGTGTTTGTTGCAAGTGTGTGAATTGTATATTTGATACTAGTTTATATCAAGGGTTGTGAAGTGGATATTTGATACTAGTTTGTACTGTATATTTGTTTTGTGCCAACATTGGGTGGTTGAGATACCTATCTTATGGCATATTTGGCATGTGATGACTGATTTAGTTTTATTGTTTGCGTGTGTGGGTGTGGTTTCTAATTTTGTGTGAAGGGCTTGTTGAAGTACTTTTTTGTTTGTTGAGATCCTTTGGTTTTCTTGGTTATAAGTGTTGGGGTTATTGTTTGAACAGTTCCATGGCTATGCTGCACTCTTCACTGTGTAGCAAAAGTGTTCAAGGGTGATGGGATTTGTACACACACATGCATGCATGCATGCATGCATATGTGTACAAATCACATCAACCTTAAACACTTTCTCTTGCTACACAGTGAAGAGTGCAGCATAGGAGTGGTAAGGTTGCATGCATGCATGCATGCATGCATACATATAGATATATATTAGAAAGAGCAACTCGTGGCTCTTTACGTGTTAATTTCAAAATATGTGATTACAAAGATTTTTGAGAAAATCAGGATCCCCTCTATATATATATATATATATATATAGAAAGAGCAACTCTTGGCTCCTTACGTTTTAATTTCAAAATACGTGATTACAAAGATTTTTGAGAAAATCAGGATCCCCTCTCTCTCTATATATATATATATATATATAGAAAGAGCAACTCTTGGCTCCTTACGTTTTAATTTCAAAATACGTGATTACAAAGATTTTTGAGAAAATCAGGATCCCCTCTATAAAATAAAAACAAAGCATCCTAGGGTTTCCGT